TTTTTTTTTTTTTTTTTTTTTTTTTTTTTTTTTTTTTTTTTTGTTATTAAATGTTTTTAAATTAAATTTGACGTCCAACTAGGTTAAATTACAAAATTAAAGTTTCATCCTTATGATTTGATTAAATTTGGTAAATAGTCTTTATAATTTGATAGTAAATAAATAAAAATCTCCGAACATTAAACTTGGTAATATTTTACCAAATTTGATCAAAATTAACTTTCTAAACTAATTTTAAAATTTATTGCAAGTACATAAACTAAATTTAAGCAATTTTAAATATACGGGATGATTCAAACACACAAGTTATTAAAAAGCTAGATTTGTAGCAATAGCATTACGACACGAAACAATCATATTGAAAGCGTGATTGGCTGGCGACTCGAGAAGAAAAATAATTCGCAACGAGAAACCGACCCGAGTTTGTTTAACAAAATTGCTCCTTTGTTGAAAGAATTGACTGGGAACAGAACATCCCAGTCTAGAGTACAAGATTTCTATTGCAATAAAGCTAAGTTATAGGCAAGTCAAGTGGGAAAAGACATATTTTCTCATAGCAGTTTGATGATAAGGAAGCAGATACTCCTGTTCTATGGCATACAACAAATAATCTTACATCCATCAGTGGCAACAATAAAGCTAACTTACAGTGGCAACTGTGCGGTATTCGACTTCGGTAATAGACCGTATGCCATTTTCATCGGCGGTCACTTCTTCTGTATCGTCTTCAGGAGGATAGCCACGTGTTCGGCCAAGTAACCATTGGTCGATTACGCCACAATTGATCGCGTACTTTATTGAATGCTCCAAGTATCCCTTATCAGTAACCAGGTGAGGCTGAACTGATAACATTCTCATTAGAGCTGCAATGATGCACGAGCAAGGGGTTAAAAACTGATAAATATAAGATTATCTGAGATTCAGCTCGTTGTTACTGTAACAGCCCAAGCCCACCGCTAGCAGATATTGTCCTTTTTGGACTTTACCTTTCGGGCTTCTCCTCAAGGTTTTTAAAACGCATATGCTAGGGAGGGGTTTTCACACCAAGGAATGTTTCATTCCCCCTCTCCAACCGATGTAGGATCTCACAATCCACCCCCTATGGGGCCAGCGTCCTTGTGAGATCCCATATTAGTTGGAGAGGGAAACGAAACATTTTTTATAAGGGTGTAGAAACCTCTCTCTAGTAAACGCGTTTTAAAATCTTGAGAGAAAGCCCAAATAGGACAATATTTGATAGCAGTGGGCTTGGGTTGTTACATGTTATCAAAGCCAGACATCGAGCGGTGTGTCAACGAGGACGCTGGTCCCCCAAGGAGGATGGATTGTGAGATCCCACATCGGTTGGAGAGGAAAACAAAGCATTTCTTATAATGGTGTGGAAACCTCTCTCTAGTAAATGCGTTTTAAAACCTTGAAGGAAAGCTCAGAAGGGAAAACCAAAGATGACAATACCTACTAGCGGGGGGCTTGGGCTATTACAATGGTATTAGAGCCAGACAGCAAGCGGTGTGCCAGCTAGAACGTTGGTCCTCGAAGGAGGGTGGATTGTGGGATCCCACCTCAGTTAGAGAGGGGAACAAAGCATTTTTTTATAAGGGTGTGGAAACCTCTCTCTAGTAAATACGTTTTAAAACCTTGAAGGGAAGCCCAAAAAGGAAAGCCTAAAGAGGATAATATCTACTAGCGGTGGGTTTGAGTTGTTACAATCCTCACTGGCACACCGCCCGGTGCATGACTCTGATACCATTTGTAACATAAGAGTATAATATGAATGTTTCTGCATAAAAAGATTACGTCATGCATATGGTAGCAGCTCTAGTTCCCTTTGGAAATTAGGATTCATTACAGTTACTCTCAGTCGCTTTTAAACAAAAAATAAAGAAATATATAAGAATGTTTACCTGCAACAATACCATCTCCTGATGCTGACATATCAGAAGTGAAAGGGGTAACTGGGGCATCCTCCATTCCAAGAATAGCACCATCATGCTCCTCTGTATAGTAGTGTACTTTAGAAGTACCATTAGTAACAAACAAGACCTTGAGATTCTCATGCCAAAGTGGCTTAATAACTTCTGGTTCATAGTGGATAAACTTCGAACTATCGTTGTTTCTGGTGTCGAATTCCTCTGACGGCTCGATCCCACAAAGGAACTCGAGCTCTTGCTTCGTGACCTCAATAATATCTGCAAGATTCCAGACTCGTTCAATGAACTTTTTTGTTTCATCACGACAGTTCCAGAGCGGTAACGGAAGGTTCAAGTCATAAAAAATAACTCCTCCCAACTTTCTGGAGATTTTAATAGCTTTCATTGTAGTTGATCTCATACTCTGATCCAGGAGGGAATGTGTGCCGAAGTAAAACATTTTAGCCTGCAAAACAGGATGTGAAAGGTAAGATAGAACATATAAGTTTATAATCAAGCTTTACGAAAAAATTCGTCCTACGATATGGAGAAAGTTAGAATTTAGTCCATATGCTTTATTACTCATATATAGTTCCCGAAGGGACTAAATTTTAACGTTCTCCAAAACCATAGATTCGAACATATAAGAGGAATATATTCTACATGAACACTATCAGAATATTGACCAGAATCCTGAGATAGAATATTGCAGACTATGCTCCACAGCTACTAAATTAAAAGGTTCAGTATATAATATGCACAGAGCCCACAGGGTTTTCATGAAAAAAAGGAATGGAATTCAGTTTAGTGTAATCATTTTAATACGGTAAATTTTGTATCTTTTACCTCCTTTAACACATCTATGTTAATCTCCGACTTTGACAACGAATCCTCTGCACTAGGTTTGATGCAAGTCATTTTCAAGCGACCCCGCTTGCCAATT